TAATAATAAACAATTTCACCAGTAATAGTTTTTTCTGTAAACTGCATATTTAAGAAGTTATGTTGGAAAATATTAGAAAAAACACGTCATTTTTGAGTATTTTTGCAGTTTTTAATTTTTTCTGCAAATAGCACAACTTTTTTTCTTGGCGCAATCTTATATTTTCGTTGTATATATTATTTTCGACCGTTTTTTACTAATATCCAAGTTACGTCAAGCAACAGCCATGTCAATGTGTAATTCTTCTGGACTAATTACACTGTGCCACCCATATGAGGGTCATTTAAATGTTATTAGATATTTTGCGGAATTCAATGGAAACGTTAACTGCACAGATAATAAAGGCTATATTCCTTTGCATTTAGCGACTGTGAAGGTCCCTTTGTATACGTTCTCTAAAGATGGCATTTCTTTTCCAAATGATATGTCGAGCGTTGTAAAATTTTAAGTCGAGCAAGGAGCAGATGTTAACAGTAAAGACTCTAAAGGAAACACGGCTGCTATGTCAGCTAAAGGAACCGGCAATTGCCACCTCCTGCGGTACCTGAATCCACAAACAGTTTAAAAAAGTAACAAGCAGCTTCATTAGTATAAATTTTTAATACAAAGCTCCGATTGATTCGAAGCTTCATTCGAATGCACTGTCTTTGGTATTTTTATACCACAAAGACAATCGAATGTGGCTTTTCTTAAAAATATAAGTTTAACTTAAGTCTTTTTAAAGGAAATATCTATATAACCCTGATAATACATCGTTGATTATTAAAAGATCTTTACAAAAATACATGTATGTATATGACGTTTACCTTTTCGTAACATCACACGTCTGGTAAGCTGTGAAACTTAATATCGTAAAAAAATAATTGTTTTCTTTTTAGGTACAGGAGAAAGTTATAAAATATCACACAATCCAAGCGTTGAAAACACAATTTTTGTTTTCGAGTTTGCCAACTGTTCTTCGCTTTTTATTTTTATTTAAGATTTCGAAGGACAAGTTCTATAGCGTATACCTATCGGCGCCTCCCTTAAAAACGAGTATTTTTCATATATTATGTTTGATATTAAAATAAATAAAATGGAATTATTTCTACCTACTTTTATATATCTATTTTAAATAAATAATCACTATATCGTACCTTTCTGCAACTACTTTACTTCATTTTATGAAGTTAATTATTTAATGGATAGATTAACATAATTTTTTTAATTGTCAATACTCTTCCAGGACTATTACGTAAAATTACACTAAAATACGTGAAATCTAGAAAAACCGTTAAAAATAAATGTGTCAAAAAAATTTAAAAATTCCCACAACTTTTGTTCTTAACATTTTTTCATATTTCGAGCAATAACGAATATATCTACTTTTTTCTTACTACCATCATGATTTATACTTTTTACGGTTCTAGGCTGTGATTGTTTAAACACTTTATTGTAATGTTAAAAATTAAAAATAAAGTTGTGCGCATATGTAGAAGACGTTTAATTTATTCAGCTTCTTAAGTAACGAGATGTACTTAAGAAGCTCATTCAACTTTAATAGAAATTTCAGAATATGGAGCCCAAAGAGCAAAACAACAAGGATCGTGACCATGTTTTCCCTAAAAAAAATCGTTATTTGGAATTTTCTAAAAAATAGTTAAATGGAAGATAAAAAGGTACCTTATTAAAATCTTTCTATGCCAGTAATGAACTTGTGAATTTGAAGCTAAATGTTTTTTATCTCAACTTAATCGATTTATCAATTTTTTCACTCTAACAGAATTTTACATTTTATTGCCAATGTATTTTTTTCTAAAACTTAATTATGTTTCCTAAGTATAAAGAAGCCAGTTTAATTAACAACTTATTTTTGAAAGTTCATTTGATTCAATTGAGCAAAGGATCACGCACTAATAATTACATTAAAAAGTGGTCTCGGTCAAAATTGAAGATTGCTGTGTAGTATTTTTGGTCTCTGGAATAAAGTTCCGATCGTAAAATCCCCGGCAGATAGTTTGTTTGCCTGTGTTTGGCCACTCTAACTCCCATGAACATACTGTCATGCCACCCACATCCTTAAGCCCCCAAACCAAACGGTTCCTTGGAATCGTTCCTAAGAATCATTCCCGGGAACCGTTCCTTGGAACCGGTCATGGGCTTTACTTTCCTTGCAAATAGGTGACATGGGACATCGCTATCCGCATTGCTTTTTTACTCCATTTTTATATGTATCTAAAAAAGGAGTGAAAATGGTCAAACATACACAAACAAACCATGTTTTTATGATCGGAACTTTATTCCAGACCCCACAAATATTATCCGATACAATAATGCAATTTGAAAAACATCCGAAATGACGAATGTCCCCCGAGTATGTGTCTTGCTGTTCGGAATTTTAATGATACAACCAAATAACTTTTGTCTATACTCTCTCAACTTATTGTTAAAGTTCAAAAATAAAACCCAATAATTTGACTTTTATTCTGTATTTGTTGTTCCGTTTACATTACAGGACGTTATTATAAGTAACTTCTTATTCTATTACAGTTGTACATAAGTACACACAATACCAGTAACGTGGTAACATTTTTTCCCAACCGATTTTCAAAAATTTTGGCAGTTGATCGGTTTTATATGTTTTCAACTATCACTTTCTTATTCTAAATTAATAACCTACTTGTGTTGTGTATTGGGTGATTCACTATATTTTGACCCCCTTCCAACTTTTTTGTTTTTAGTTAAAATAAATATCTGTACGCATTTTGGACGATATCAATGTCCGATATGTCAAAATATATTACAACTATCTAAATCCTTACGTAATTGGAAAAAAGGCAGAAATACCTGAAAGAGGTCTAACAATAAGGATACCTTATTTTCTTAATAAAAAAAACATCTTTTCGTTTTTTAATAGTATCTCGCTTATTGTTAGAGATGAACCCAACAAACCCCATACGACTGTGTTCGACAGGGAATGCTCTACCAAATATGTAAGAATATACAGGGTGTTCCATTTACATTAACAAAGTTACCAGCGGCCATTTTGATTGGACGTCATTTGTTTTTCAACAATCATTTTCGAAAAATTCATAAAAAATCGTGAAACTTTTGTATTTCGCATTTTTTTGTAACTCTTAAAACAAAAAAGTTAAAGGGGTGGTCAAAATATAGTGAATCACTCGGTACATGTGGTTGGGGAGATTATGAAAAACTTTAGTTTGACAGGAAGAAGAAGAAGAACCGTTTAAATAATTAGCCAAGCATCTATTTGTTACGGTTGTTTTTCAGTAATCCAATATATTAACTTTCTAAATATTGCAGTTTTAGACCTTATGATAGTATTTAATTTGTTGAAATTAAAATTTCAGTCGTTTAGGATTTTCGTTATTAAAAAGTTAAGATTAATGCAATGATTAGTGCATAACTTAAAACTACAATTCGCCGCATACACCAGGAAAATTAGCGAAAATAAAAGAGAAACTCGAAAAAAGTTCTATCCGCTAGATTATTTTAAAATTGTCTAAAGGAACATAATACAAGACATCTCTCGTCTCGTGAGTCAAAAACTTTTATTAGCTAACTTTTCTATTTAAACAAATAAGTGAGGAAAACAGTTTTTTCACTTTGCAGGGAAAACCATCAATTTTAGCGAAAAGTGACTCTCA